CAAACGTGTCAATCCGCGCTGGACAGATTAGCACTGGCTGTCAGTCGCTTCGGGCTTTGCTTTGCACCACCGAAATGCGAAGCGTTCCTCCAGGATTGGCAGGGTTCGCCCCCTGTGCTGACCCTTGGTGGGGATTAGCTAGAAGTCGTTCAGAAATTCAATTACCTGGGAAGTTGTATCAGCGCCCTTGGGATCGAAGACGAGATCACGAACCGCATAGCGAAAGCTCGAAGTGCTTTTGCTAACCTTCGCCACCTATGGCGACGGCGCGACATTACTCTCGCCCTGAAGGGTAGAGTGTACAATTCAGCGGTACGTTCGACCTTACTGTACGGTTGCGAAACCTGGCCCCTAAGATCGGCGGACATGAAGAGGCTACTTACGTTCGACCATCGGTGCCTTCGCAGTTTGGCTCACATCTGGTGGGAACACCGCGTGAGTAACGAGCGTGTTCGACGCCTTGTTTACGGCCTAGGAAAAGGGAATGAACCGCTCAGCACCGTCATTTCACTCACCAGGCTCCGATGGCTGGGCCACGTGTTGCGCATGCCAGCCCACCGACTCCCTCGACGTGCGTTGTTTGCTCACCAGGGATGTGGGTGGAAGAAGAGGAGAGGTGGCCAAGCGATGACTTGGTCCAGAGGAATGAAGGCCCTCACTTCGGAGCTGGCCTCAGTTGGAGCTTCACGGCTCTCTGGTTGGGGTCCAAAAGACGGTGAACACGTTTGGCTGGATACACTTGCTGATATGGCAAGGAGCCGACCTCAGTGGCGTTCCTGCTGTGAGTTTTTTTGTCCCTCCCCATCCCTTTAGCCTCCCCCTCCATCTACGATCTTATTTCGTAGGGTAAAACGTAATTAAATTTTTGGTTTTGCCTAGTAGCCGGCTAGTAGCTTACCGGAACGATGCGTATCCGTTGCTGGTAGCTCAGCTGGCATTCAACTGTCGTATTTATTTTTCCTTTATGTATTGTATGTGTGTATGTATTTCCTTCATGTATTGCGGCACAATAGCGGAGGTGTTTTACCATCTCTCGCTGACATGTATAATGATGATGATGATGATGCACCCGGCCACGGACCCAACTATTGTCGATTACAACCAGCTACCCGAGTCGATTTTTCTGGACTTGGACGCTGCAACTCTCCATCGGTCAGCATTGCCAGGGGTACTTGTCACATCGGTAACGGAGAACGCGGTTTTTAGCGACGAATTGAATGTGGCAATTGCAAGCTTGGATGAAGAACGCACTATACCGGTGGTTCAACCTGGTGCACAGTCGACGGCCGCTGTTTACGACGCAAGGCATGAACCCTGGAATGCAACAGTTGACGAACAAACCAAACATACAAATTTCCAAGATTTGGTGATCGATGAAAAGATATGCGCAGAATGCGGCTTACAATATCGGGAAGAAAACGAGGGGCGAACAATACACTAGGTTGAATGCCCGTATTGTACACCTTGGTATCACCGCAGCTGTCTTCTGCAGCTCCCATAGTAACTGTTTTCTGGTGCTTTCTCTGCGAACAGATATTTGAATGACACTGCGGAGTGAGTTAGTGACCTTTTGTAGGCCAGATATGTCAACTTATTTTTCCTGTTCTGCTTACTTGCATGTGCGCTAATGATATCGTTAAATATCCGCCACTTTACTAATGATTTCATTGTCATGTGACAATGAACGGGGAGGTAATTTCTTCTGTTTACGTCCACCACATAAAGGCAACCCTCGTTACTATGGTGCGGTGGTGTAATCAATTATTACTTGGGTCCAACATGTCTCCGGTTTTTCACATCGGTGAATAATGCTAGGTAATAATCCATACATGATTTGTCTATCCTTCCAGGGTATCAACGAATGGGATGGAAGAAAAGATGAAGACAAAACCCCATTGTGCAGTGTAAAACGAATAAGTGTTGGGAAACGGCATATGTAGACAGAGAGTTTCTTATTCTTGTACGTGTCAAGAGGATAGTTATCAGAAAGGAATAAACGATGCGAACGAGCCAGGACCCCATCGTCGCGGCAGGCGATCCAAACTCACCCGCCCTGATTGGAGCGAACAGAGAGCCATCTGGGAGAAGCGGCCAATTAACGCGAGGGCGGCGTTCCTTGATTTGCTGTTAGTTGACTTTTCCAGTGCTTTCTACTTGCGTCTTAAATACCATTCACGAACTTTACATTTCATCTTTATAATGAACGGTGTGGTTCTCTAATATATCCCTGTTGCTCTGCTCGTCCGATCCGGTCTTCTCTCTGTCCTGTGGGGGGGCATCGACTTCGGGTTTTAATTGGGAATCAAGCGTCCATTCAGGCGAGGGACGAACACTTCAATATTGATATATGGCTCGTGTCGACTTGACAGTATGTAGTTCTGGGCAGTGACTTGATTCAGTGGCGAGTCACATCCGCAGTGGTCGACGCGAAGTCGTCACCATGGACGGTTTAAAGCCCGCCTTTATGGAAGAAACCACCTCGCGTACTTGGTCGACTAGTGCTTCGTGCGACGTCACAACTCACAGCACCGACTTTCAGCGTCTTATTACAGTTCAACCAGACCACGATCCCGGTCTACAAGCTTCAGACGTCCCAACATCACCGAAATCCAGCCCGCCGCCTCCAATGACCAATCGTCTTGGTCGCGAAGTGCATAAGCCCGATCGGTACTGCGACTATTTATAGTGTAAATGCGTTTATTTTTGTAGGTATTGTATGTAATTGCCCCGTTTTTGGCCGAATAACATTTTGAAAACCAACAAAATATCAAAAATCCACAAAAAATCTTTCTCTAAAATAATTCAAAAGCCAAGTAATCTAAACACGCGTATCAATCGTTCATCATTTCTGGAGTTTCCTGAGCCTGTTCTTCTATTTTCTTTTCTCTACACGGCCCAACCCTCCCCTTCGATCGACTGGCCCACACTAGCAATATTTTCAAGGACCCTGACGCGAACGGTGGTCGTTTCCCCCTGGGGACGGGTTTCCCTTCTTCTCGGCACTAGGGTCGTTTCTTCGTGGGACGACGGTTTTTTCTCAGTGGGACGAGGGTCTTTTTGGCGCGGGGTGGAGTGCGGCTGGGGAAGAGACCACTCCCAAGCGCACCGTTTGACAACAGCGGAGATTGAGGTCCTGTCGGCCGTTTTCTGGGCCAGCCAGATTTTTGTAGTCTGACAAGCCCGCTCCAACGGCTCGTCGAAATGCACCCTGCCCTGCAGTCAATAAATAATAAATCACAAAATGCACAGCGGACTCCGATTTCCGGCTAACCCCCATTTAACCCAAACACTCGTTCATTCGTACTCGGCACGATTTTGCCCTCCGAACCTCGATTCAACAGTCGTTTGCGATATAGAAGGCTTTCTCTGTTCAGCCTTCTAGGGGGAGCACTGTAGCACCCAAAGAGATAACTGTCATCTTTCATGTATTATTCCATTGTTATCCAATTTTTCATTATTCTTCCTTCTTTTATTCTTCCTTACAACCGGCTCGACACTCGACCGCCTTGTAAGTTCCCGCGCTAACGTGTAGTTCCTGTCTTGCTTCATCCGTCCACACCTTTCGTAGCCCATCGAATACAGTCCGCTGTGTCCGACTTCAATTGCCTTCTGATATCCGCGCTTACTTTCGCGCACCATTGTGCTGACTTCTCCAAGGTTGAAGGGTGCCGCGTTCTTTATTACAGGGAGCAACTGTGCCAGTTAAATGCGGGCAACCGATGTTGGTCATCATTGAAATCGGCGATTGTTTGTCAGTGCACGTAAGTAGGCAAAGATGAATTAGATGTATGGTTGATGTCCGAGTTTGTTAATGAAATGTCAGTCGCACAACATTATACGAATATGCTTGGGAAGAAGCACAATACCAAGGCGCGATAAATGTGCTGTTATTGTCCTCATGGCACCGTAGTAGTAATGGTTAGCAGTACAGCTCGTGAACAGTGCATCGCCCAGCTGCCTAACGAGCGGAGACGGAAAGCATGACAATCACGGAATGATACGAAACACAGAGCGGTAATAACCGATTAAGCCAGAGTATGATGTTCACCAGCGAAACCACTGTCCGCGCCAAGGGACACCAGTAATAAATGGAACAATGACGTCCGATAGTAGTGAAAGTCAATGCAAACACGAATAATCAGACCTCCGTTGTGTAGTTATAACGATAGTAAGCCGAACCTTCGAATGAGAATAGTCGTTGTAATAGTGTGGTAGAATTGGTGGTTACATGGAGGAACAGAAAGTGCGGCGAAATAGAAAGCAGTTGGCGAACGTGCAAGCAGTGGTTGGGAAAAGCTCAATGATCGAAATAGACGGGTACCGAAGGCAGCGAAGGTAATTATTCGCAATTGACCACGTCGTTGCGGAACGCACTGGCGAGAAATTACCGCATATATTGCTTATTGCCAACAATGGTATGGCAGAACAAAGTAGAGAAAAATCACCGTATATACTAATCATTGCGAACTATTTTATGAGAAGTATGGAAGTCAAAAGACAGAGGTGAACACTGGGAGGTTGTACTAAGTTCCAGTTATTGGTTAACCACGTAAAATCAATTGTAGTGTGCTGCGCAGATACACGCAACCTACGTAACACTGCTATATGCGTTGCATCAGGCTTGTGTGATGTATAATCTGCGGTTAGTGAACATGTGGACTGTCGTCCCATGACGTAGTACCAGAGAAGATATCGGGATATCAGAGAAATGAGGCCAGATTAATGTGAGGTCATTGTGCTCATGTATGAAACAATGAACAATGATTTATCACGGGATAAAAGCAAGTGCTTGACACGTCCAGTAGAATGGTTGGGGTGAAGATGATGAAATCAAACTATATCTGAGTCATCTACCGAACGTCTGCCTAGATGAATACTTCGATAAATTACATCAGTGTAAAATTTAAAATAAAATCGAGCGTAAACGTTCAGAAAGACACTGGGGTGCAGTGATAGTTGACCTAACTAACGCACGGTCTGGGCAGTTAAAATGCAGGGCAGTGGGCGGAATGAGTATACTGAATAACCGTGGTTCTACAATAGCAGTAATAAACAAAAAAGAATACAATTAACTCACGAATAGGTAATGCGACTCGCTAATTCGGGCAGCAATTATTCCACGTCAGCAGTTAAGTCTGCGCAAATGGCGAATAGTCCGTAAAATTGGCACAGTAAAACAAATTACAACCGATGAGACGCAAACCGTAAGTTCACAACAATTAAGCAAAGAAAAAGAAAGATAATAAATGCAGAAAAATTGCAGGGTTTTATCAGTTTGTTAAAGCCGAACATTTGTGCATGAACAGGTAAACTCGAGTACCACACCGTCCAACGGGAAAAATATAAAGAAATTGAACTACTGGTAAATGTGCAGTAGTATAGTTCAGAATCGAGAATTTAGAATTCACACTCCCCCAGCGTCTTTGGCCTCCTCGCTGAATTCTTCGTCCAAAGTCTCCTCTAATAGACACACTTGTCGTACGTCTCTCCGTAATGTTCCTTTGTTTGTACGTATCAGAACTTCCCGGACCAGTCCATCGCGCCCAGCCTTCGCTTCTTCTATTATGCCCTTTGGCCACAGACCTCTTGGCGTGCGTACATCGGCGATTAGAACAAGATCACCTCTCCGTAAACTGCGCCTCTTTGTGTGCCACTTTTGACGAAACTGCAAAATCGGCAAATAACAAGTTAACCACCTTTTCCAAAATTCATCGGACAGCTGCTGCACTTGGCGCCATTGTCTCGTCAGCCTGTGGGGAATTCGTGCCTGCTCTGGGTCCAGTGCCCTGTCTGCTGTTAAGGTCAATAATTGGCTGGGCGATATAGCACCGAACTCATCGGGGTGACCGGGATTGGGTACCAAGGGTCGCTGGTTAAGTATTCTTTCCACCTCCACTAAGGTTGTCTGAAGAATTTCATCGTTAACAAGCCGATTACCGAGTATCACTCTAAGTATCGTCCGTATTGAACGGATCAGACGTTCCCACGCTCCTCCACGATGACTCGCATAGGGCGGATTGAATATCCATTCGCAGTTCCTGTCGTTCAACATTCGGCTCAATTTATCTTGATTCCATGATCGTATTATACCTCTCAGTTCACCCTCAGCTCCACGGAAGTTCTGTCCATTGTCACTGTACACTCTCAGCGGTACGCCACGTCGCGAGACAAATCTTGAGAAGGCGCACAAGAAAGAATCTGTATCCATAGCGTGCGTTATTTCTATGTGTACCGCTCTTACTGAGAGGCAAGTAAATATACAACCGTACCGTTTCCCCGTTGTTCGTTTTTCCTTCACCAGTAGTGGTCCAAAATAGTCAACCCCAACAGCCGTAAACGCCGGTTGGTATGCCATACAACGATCCTCTATGAGAGGGGCCATCTGTTGTTCACAAGGCTGAGCCTTCCATATCATGCAGCGTGCACATGCCTTCAGGACCTTGCGGACTGCTGAAACACCATGCAAAATCCAATAGCGCTGACGCAGTTCAGAAAGGACGTGAGACACGCCGACGTGACCGTTTCTCTCGTGGCAATCTAAGATAATTAGTCTAGTCACGTAATGTTGGGCAGGTAGCAGGACAGGATGCCTAGCGTCATACGGCAATGGTGCCCAATTCAGTCTGCCACCAACTCGTAGGATGCCGTTAATCAAAAATGGGCAGAGTCCCTTCAACGAACAGTTGGAACGTTTCAAACATCTAACTGCTTCTTTCTGTCGATTCGCTCCCAGTACTTTAATCTCTTCCGCGAAGGAGATCTGTTGCACGTTTCTCACTATCTCCACTTCGGCCTCGTTTAGTTCAGATAACGTCAAACGACCATCAGTCGGGTTATTCAGACCTCTTCCGCATCTTTTCAGCAAGTACCGTTTAAATCTGAGTAATGTGGCTACACATCGTTTGAGCTTGACCCAGCTACTACAGCTTGCGAACCTGTCTAACCAAGTGTTCGTTAATGTTGCACTATGGACTGTAACATGCTCCTTCTTCAGCCACTCATTCGGGATTTCGCTTAAACTTTCCGGAAGTTTGGGCCAATGGACTTCTTTGAGGCGTAAGAAATAGGCTCCTTCAAGCCATTTCCCCATTTGAACTCCATCACACACCCGTAATCCGCGAGAGGCTATGTCGGCTGGATTCGCAGATGTTTCGACGTATCTCCACTGCTTCGGGTCGGAGAACTGATGTATCTCGGACAGTCTGTTCGCGATGAACGTTGTAAATCTCTTGGTCGTGCACCGGATCAACTGCAGCACCACCATCGAGTCAGTCCAAAATATCGGAGGTTTGTCTAGCTGCAACTCCTCAACTGCTTGAATGGCTAACCGGACGGCAAGGACCGCGGCGGTTAATTCTAGACGCGGTATTGTAACTGCTCTTATCGGCGATACACGCGACTTTCCCATAATGAGAGTAGACCAAATCTGATTATTTCGGCCAACAATCCTGACGTAAACTGCCGCTCCGTATCCATGTTCTGAAGCGTCTGAGAAACAATGCAGCTGCATGTCGTCGTCGGTGAATGGCTTCGGTCTAACACACCGAGGAATCCTCAGTCGCTCTAGTAGCTGGGTGTCCCGCAGGAAGCAATACCATTCCTCCCGTTCCGGTCCGTCTACCTGTATATCCCAAGCAAATCCTCTTCGTACGAAGGATTGCAACAGCTGCTTGGCACGCAACAGTACCGGTGCTATCAGACCTAGTGGGTCATAAATCGCGGCGATGAAAGACAGAATCGATCTTCGAGTGCAATCCCCTTCGAACTTTCTCAGGCTAAATGTTATGCAATCGTCTGACAAGTGCCATTTTAGTCCCAACGTAGGTTGTACATTCTCGGACTGTAAAGTCAACTGGACTGATTCGTTGGCAGACGCACTCGTCATCATTTGTTGCAGAATTTGATCATCGTTACACTTCCATTTCCGTAAGTGAAACCCACCCTTGGATGCAATCGCTTCAAATTGTGTAATGAGGAGACTAGCTTCTTCCCGGCTACCACAGCTAAACAGGCAATCGTCGACATAGAAACATCGCTGCATCAGGTTCAGCGTCGACTCCGGATACTCAGTTCTGCAATCTTCTATGGTCCTTCTGAGTGCAAATGACGCGCAGCATGGCGAGGAGGTTGCACCGAAGGGATGGACCGTCATGCGGAACGCTTTCGGTGATTCGTGCAATCGGCCCTTTGGCCACCACAAGAAACGCAAATAGTCTCTATCTTTCGGTGTCACCATTACCTGGTGAAACATGGCTTCTATATCGGCAGTTACCGCCACTTTGTCCATTCTGAATCTCAGTAAAACGCCAACCAGACTGTTCACTAAGTCGGGCCCTTTCAACAATTGTTGGTTTAATGAAGTACCCTGGTAGGTGCTGGCACAGTCGAAAACGACACGGACTTTCCCGGGCTTGTTGGGGTGCGTCACAGCGTGATGTGGCATATACCAAACGCCTTTTTTATCACCAAGCGGTCCTAGGTCAATCATTTCCACAAACCCACTCGACGCGTACTCTTCAACGGCAGCTGTGTACATCTGATGTAACTCTGGGTTGGCAACGAGCCTTTTGCGCAATGACATCAGTCTTCGGTAAGCGACAGGATAGTTGTTTGGCAAATTTGGGCATGCGCTTTTCCATGGTAAATTGAGTTGATAATGTGAACCACATTTAACGATAGATGACTCCATCTGCTCTAATGCGCGTTTATCCTCAACAGACATTCCGCGTCTTGAGCTACATGGCTCAGTGAATTCCAACTCATACATCCTTTCAAGAAAGCTCGAAGTAGAGTCTTCTACACTGATTGAGTTGGTGTAAATGTTCGTTACGCCTTTCCCCCCCACCGGACCGAGCAGGATCCAACCTAACGGTGTTCGTATGGCAAAGGGGTCTGACGGTTTTCCATACCGATGCTCAAGCACCCAGTGGGCTTCCGGGACATTCATGCCAATAAGCACTCCGACTCCTTCATCACAACCATCGATAAACGGTAGGTCCTGTAAGTGTTCCCAACTGCGCAGGCGTTCTGGCTCCGGTATTATCCTCTGTAACTTAGGCATCCTTTTGACGGCCCACGCATGATCCACATGCAGTGATTTACCTCCTTCCAGCGGTTGCAACTCCAGGCGTACAACTTGCGAGCGCATCGTTGAATCACCGTTAACCGTTGCTATTTGTACCACTGACGGTCTGGCTGGTAAGTCAAACCTTTGCAACAGCTGTTCATCGACAAGTGACGAATCAGATCCTGGGTCAAGTAAAGCATTGGTCACCAGTGACTTGGTTTTTCCACGCAGCAGAATTGGAATAATCCCTAAAGCTATTCGACCCCACGACACATTCGTTTCGTTTACCACAGCTCTTGGTGAAGTTAGTTGCTGTGAGTGGTAGAGCACCCAATTCTCGCATTTCGGAGTTAGGATCAAGATCAGATGCCAAATTGGTTGCTCGAAGACTTCCACCAGGCCGCAGTTTCACGGCTAAGTATGATAAGCCGACCAAGCCCAAAACTACTACAATCCACAAAACTGGTGGTGTGGGTGGTGCATCCTCTTGGATAAACAGCTCTGGCACTCATATAGAGTTTGCTAATGCTGTTTCCTGCAGGCGAAGTGACAGCGATGTAAATCAACGAATCACAACTGTATTACCTGATACATCCCAACTGCATGCGAAACCGCTACCCCAAGCTTGGGCCTGTCATGTCCCGCCTAAAGTCTGCTCTGGCTAGTGTCAAGCTCATTGAGAATATTGATGGATCCGGTCAAATTGATCGATAGTAAAAAGATGGTTGACCTAGAGTTATCGCAAGCGTCACTGGGTGAATCTGTATCGTCATTTTGTTTGGATAGACATACGTCCATTAGTCATAAACCTATAAAAGACGTTCCACCATCTAGGCACCTTACACGAGGCGTAATTATGCACCACCACTTTCCGGTTCCACCATCGAATCACACGGATTATATTGATGGTGGTGTACGGATGAACACCAGTGTGTCTCCATCGCGCATAGTGAAGTCATGTATATCGAGCGCAATTAAGTGGGTTTTGCCAATGGATAGAAATGACAGCTACCCACTGACTCCTATCAATACGTTACGTACTCAACGGTCTATTAGTGACATGATGCAGATGACGCAACTTGACTCTCTAGCTCCCACAAGCTATTTCAACAATCATGGGCTCTTTCCTCGAATCATTTTCTAGAGTGCCATACTCAGTCGCAACCTCCTCCGCTGTGGCCACCACCAAATCATTTTCCACGCTCTTTTTCATCAATTTCTAGTCTGGGTTCAAGCACACAGCTTCAAACCCCAGCGTTGATAACACAGCGTAAACAATCTTCCTCATATCTCACAGCGAACCCAATATTTTGGATAAACGTTCGTTCTATTCACTCTAAGATCCACACACTGCGCTCATTTGTTTTTGTGAATAATCCTGACATAATGCTTGTAACGAAACCTTGGTGCTATGATGACTTGTCTGACAATTTGTTGACTATTTTCGCATATGACAAGTTTATGAGAAATCGGCGTAGTCGTAAAGGTGATGAGTGTATAATTTACCTGAAAAAGCTCGCAGCAGCAACGTTCGAGAAGCCAGTGTTGGACGCTGTCCAGGAATCACAATGGCTTACAATTTCTGTTAATCAGCAGCAGCTTTTTATGGGATATATATACAGCGCACCAAACTGCATTCAAGAAGACCTAGAACTTCTGACGCGTGCATTTGTATGAGCCGCTACCGTACCATTTATACAAAAGATTATTGGAGGTAATTCCATTTCACATACAATTTCATGGCCCAAGGGAACCACACCTTTTGAATGCCAAAAGCTTATCTGTATCCAAATGAATGGCTGGCAGCAACGCGTCTCTCAACCTACCCAAAAGTTAGAAGTACTCTGGATCTCATGTTTACATTGTACATACGTGCAATCAGGGTTAAGGTTCTTGATGAATTTCCGAGGAGCGAGCATCGCGTGATAAAACGCCGTTTACAACGGAACAATGGAACAATGGTTTATTACGGGTAAAAAAGCATCACTTAGCAAGTCCCGTGGGATGGAAATTATTGAGAAAATCAATTGCATAATAAAGTGAAAAGCGTTGTGGTGGACTCACCATAGACTTATGTGGAACAGCGGAGATCTTCGCGTATTAAACGTATAAATCCATAAATCCACTGGTTAGGCGTTTGGCAAGACACCGTTTCATTGCGTTTTGCAGCCCTTGGCTAACAAGTCATAAAATGAAATGTAAGTGAGACAATGCATCGTCAACATGTTTTTTAAATATCGCCAGATTGGGAGCAGAGACGACATAATTAGGGAGGGCGTTCCAAGGCTGGCACACGCGGAGGGAAAAGAAATTTTTACGGCATTCAAGCCGGCTATAATGAATTGTCAGTTTCAGTGGGTGACCGCTTAGTTTAGTGTTGTGGTTCAATTCCAGTAGCGGACGGCAAATGTGGTTTGGGTTCTTCAGAAGCTGGTAAACCATAATGAGATCCCCCCGCAAAAGCTGATATCGACTGCTGTAGATTCTTAGAGATTTCAGTCTAAGCTGATAGGGCAGATGAAATAGGCCCTTGACGTTCTTGGTTGCCCATCGTTGAGGAGTCTCGAGAGCAACGAGATCCTGTTTCTGCCACGGCTGCCACACCTGTATAGCATATTCCACGTGAGGTCGCACGTAGGCTTTAAGCATTTGGGGAAAGATTGAGGGTTCAAACCGACCGAAGGCTCTGCGAAGAAGGCCGAAGTGTTGATTCCCGGTTCTCCTCGTCTTCTCTGCTTGTTTTGAACACCCGAGATCTTCCTGTACCAATACACCCAGGTCACACTCCTGAGAAACCTTCGCCAAGGTGTGGTCTCCAAGCTTGTAAGCGCTCACCGGCTGGTGACGCAGATGCATCACTTTGCACTTAGCTGTGTTCAATTGAAGCTTGTACCTCTTTGACCATTCGTAAATGCAATCTAGGTCATGTTGGAGCAGATCCTGATCTGGCTTATTACTAATCGCCCGCCATACCTTGACGTCATCGGCGAAAAGCAGGAAATTTGAGGAAATGACTCTCGCCAGGTCGTTGATAAATACCAGGAATAAGAGTGGACCTAGCACTGAGCCTTTTGGAACACCACATTCCACCTCAATTGGGTTAGAGAGTGATCCACTAACACGTACTTGAAGCTTTCTTTGGTAAAGAAAGTTGCCAATCCAACCAAGTACAAGATCTCCGATTCCGTAACTTTGTAGTCTTTGAAGTAGGATGCGGTGATCAAGGCGATCGAAAGCTTTGGAGAAGTCCAGATAGATGACGTCGAATCCGACCCTATCATCGGCCACTTCCATCCAACTACCTCGTGCAATCAGTAGGTTGGTGGTGCATGACCGGTGTTGACAGAAGCCATGCTGTTCCGGTACCAAGATGTTGCATTTTTCCAGGTAGTCTGTTAAAGCCTCAGCGACGACTGCTTCCATCCCCTTCGCGAGCACAGGGAGGAGAGTCACTGGACGATAGTTTGCAGGATCTGAACGGCTACCGCCATTAAAAATAGGGGTGATAATGCCACACTTCCACATAGTGGGGACTTGTTGTTCATCAAAGCACCTTTGGAAGAACTGTGACAGTGGTTCAGCTAGCTTGTTAGCCACAGCCTTCAGTGTCTTCGGGCGGATGTTGTCTGCTCCCGGAGAACTATGCTCACGCAGTGAGAGTAACTTTCTTAGCACAAATGATGGGTTGAAAATTACATTTGTAAACAATAGTGTTGATAACATACTTGATATTATGGGAGAGGTAGAGGTTACGAGTTCAAAAATTGGGGCGTATTGAAGCCGCACGGCATTAGCTGCTTCTTCGGCGCTTTGTACTCTACCGCCTGTCGTGAAAAGCGGAGGGATTCCGTGCTTCACTTTACGAAGCTTATTGATATGCCTAAATAGTAGTTTGTTGTTTGCCATAAATTTTTGGCTAGGCACTTGATAGGTTACTTTGTCCTCATGGAGAAGTGCAGTGCAATGGTTGCGATGGGTCAGGAAATTTCCCCAAGTCTCTGAGTCGGGGTTAATCTTGTGGCACGCCATGCTGCATCCCTGATCGCCAGGCATTTTCGAGTCCTACTCCTTAGAATTTAAGGCATTTTCGCGGGACGAACTGGTTTGGTCTCTGATGTTTGTTTTCGATGTCGCTGAGTTTATTATCGAACTCTGTCCAAACGTTGTCAAGGGGACTTTTGTTTGAGAATTCCCAAGCAGCTGCGTCGGCGAGTTCTTTCAATACGTGGTAGCGTGTCATTGTATGAGTTAGTTCCGAGTGTTCAGATGGATACTCTGCACAACACACATAGTCAAAAGCTATTACTACACGATCACTGAGACTTAATGGACTATCCATCAATAACTTTTCAACCAAGAGCTCTTCATTCGTGAGCACAAGGTCCAATATGGATGGTTTGTTTGCTGTCCTGAATCTAGCGGGCGTGGTGACATGATAGTACGACGGAATATTAGCGATTAGTTCATGCAAGTCTGCTTTGAACTGCTCACTGGGCGATGCCGAAACCTCCAGATTGTGTGGATTTAAGTCCCCGGAGATGAGAATGTGGCTGTACCTAGTGCGCGTTACTCTGTTTAGGCCACGGAACAAGGTTAACCGATGTACAGAACACAATGCATTGTGGTCTGTTCAGTTCCGTCAACTGGAACTCTTTCAAGTATCTGGTCCGTTCGATGAATTGGGATAACTTCTTTCTCTCTTCATGTCCTCAACAAGTGGCGACCTGTTTTATAGTATAAGTAGTTTCTGCATCGAATCAACAGTACGACTAAAAT